CTCTGAATTCAGAGAAGCAGCCGTGTTCATTGGTAGATCTAGTTAGGCTTGGGTATGGATTCAGGTTCAGCCACGTACCAGCCCTGTGACCTTGGGCAGTTACTTTTCTTCTCAGTTGTGATAATTAAGTAAAACACTGAATTTGAAAGCCCTCAAATAACACATCTTAGAACTGCTCTTGTTCACACATTTCCTGTGCTCTGCTCTGAGACTGGACTCTTCTTTGCTGCCTGGTCACATTTGGTATAGTCACTCAGCCTTCCAGTTAGACCTAAGCTCCCAAAGTGTAGGGACCTGTGTGTCCTCCACACTTGCGTATCTAACGCACACCTGCACAATGTGCTCTGCTCACTGGGAGGCTGGTAGGTGCCTGTTGGGCCAATGGGCTGAGGCAGTGAATACTGGATCACTTTCTATTCCTATTAAAGTTTCTGGGTAGTCTGGTCCCCTTGGAGAAACTGCCCTGTCAGGAAACCATACTTCCTTCTTCAGCAACCCTTCCAGGCATGAGGGAACAGGAGCGCCAAGAGCACCCCCACAGTTCCTGGAGTTGTCCAGGTCAGCTGTGATTCTGTCTCCTGGGGTTCTCACTGAGCCTTCGGCTGTGTCCTGAGCTTCCCGCCATCCTGGAAACCCCTTGCCCTCACCACAAACAGCCATGCCAAATCAGAATGATTAAGAAGAGTTGTAGGAAGGCTATGGGAGGATAAAAAGCAGCCATGACATAGCTCACCAGAGCGGAGAATGTCAGCTCTGCAACCTCCAGCCCTCCGATCCAGGAAGGTCAGAAGGTGGGTCTTTCCCAATGGAAGCCCATCACAATTCCTCAGCTGCCCACGCTCAGCACTGTCCTGTTTCCTTCTCTTCCAGTTCTGGCTGCCACCATATTCTTGGCCAGCCGGGGGTCAGCTCCGTGGACCAGCCACAGAGAGCCTGGTCTTACCTCCTGCACTGCTTGGCCCCACACCCAGGATGTGGTAGATTTGCTGGATGTGGTGACTGACCCCTGAACCCCTATCCCGCTGTGTTCAATGCACTACTACTAACCCATGTGCAAGCCTGGTGGTCACCCAGAAAGCCTCAGCACAGCCCCCTTGGACCTGGACCCAAAGTCTCACTCTGGCGATGGCCACACCACAAATGTCTGACGATGCTCTAGTAAAAGGAAGGGTCATTCCATCACAGATGTCAGCACACTGGCTTTGGGAAACCTGCTGTCTACACAGAGAGTGCTCTGGTCCACTCCACCATGGAAAGCTTAACAGGCCCATTCGCCAGTCCCCATATCGCATTTACCTGTGATTGATTTTATAATCTTGGGCCTTTTTTTTTACAGTTTAATCTCCTAATCTGATTGCTCCAGAAGGCTTAACAAGGTGCTGTTTGCTTAGTTCCCACCTGGCATTCATGAAGCAGATGCGGGAGACAAGAATAAGTTACTGCGTGATTGCAGGACAATTAGTGCTCACCTGTTGCATGTTCTGCCAGGTGACAATGGTGATTTATGAGGACAGACTGGGAAAAGTTGAGCGTCAGATAATTCACCAGTGACAAAGTTCCACACCTGAGAAGGAGGGGCATATGTGCACTGGGTTGAAGTTACAATTCAGGAGTTCATGTTCTCCCATAAATTAGCAGTCACCAGTCAAGCCCTGACAGCAGGTACAGTAGTCAATCCATCCAGCTCAGCAGGGAGCTGTCTCTGGTTTTGAATCCTGGCTCCCATCAGCTGGGCCTCACTAGTGCCTCGTTCCCTCGCTTGTATTCAGAAATACGTGGAGGGTGTGCGTTTTGTGCAGGGTTATAAAAGGCAACCAACACTCATCCTGCCAGAAGTAGGACTCAGCCAGGTCTTGAGTGCCTGTCACCAAACTGGTGCTCAGTCAATATTTGCTGAATGAATAAACGAGGCAGAATTTGGACACACATGTATAGTTAGTAGTTAGAAGCCACAAGTCTGGGGTCAAAAGAATGGATTGCAGTCTCATGTGTTCTCAGAAAAATTAAATGGTTGAGAGAACATTATCCTCATCTTAAGAGTCAGAAGGTTCAAATGTGCTCACACATATAACTTGCTTGGCCAAGGGCCTGGCACGCAGAAAGCTGAGTGTTCAGGGATGATGGCAATAATCGCTTCAGTTGGGATGGAAGCGAAGCCCAAGTCACGCCGAGGATGTGAAGGGCTGACGTGCAGAGGCCTGAAATTGGTAAGAAGTCAGGTCGGATAGGTAGGTGGGTCCGGATGCAGAAGGAAGTACAACTTCTATGCCAAACCTCTGGAAACCACTTAGAGTGGCCTGTCTGGCCTGTCCCCAACCCTCTCCAAGTTCTGTACTCTCCACAGCCTCCTGGAATAGGACATGGTTGGCGAGAATAGGGCGAGTGAGAAAAAGAGCCACTTACCTCTTTAACCCCCAGGAGGGGGGAAAAGAGCCAGCATGCCCCTAGATTTTAAAAGCTGCTTTAAATTGGCAAGCTTCTTTGTTTTAAATCAAGAGGCCCATTCCTGGTCCAGATGCTAGAAAGCAGTTTCATGGAGTGCTTAACTTACACAGCTCCAACTGCCCAGCCCAGGAAAACCTGGCCACTATGCTTGGTAGGGAGGGCAGGAAAGGTGGGTCCAGCCTCAGGTGGAGTCCAGAGAGCCCGGGTATCACGGAACAGCCTGCTTTCCCAGCCCCAGCCTACCTGAACATCACCCCTGCCTGCTGAGGCTTTATGAAGCAGGCGGCACAGACTTCTCCCAGAGTGGGAGTCACAGGCCGGCATACTGAGCAAGGAGTCCTGAGGCTGGGCCTGCGGCCACAACTGGAGGCCACACTCTGGGCCTTAGTCGCCTTCTCCAGTGAACTGAGGGGTTCAGACTAGGAGAGCAATGAGCCTGGAAGGTCCCCAGCTGATTGACAGTCAAACCTCAAGGGAAAGGGGAGCAATCTGATATTTATTGCACTCCTAAAAGCACTGCCCTTCACATAATTAATCTCCTAGGCAGGCATTATTGTCCCCTATTTATAGGAATATCAGATGCAAAGCCCTTAGCAAGATTTTACAGATAAAAAAACAAGTTCAGAGAGCTGAGGACTCTGCCAAGGTCATTACATGGCAAAGGGCTGCAAGGATTCAGACTTGGGTCCATCCGACTACAAAGCCAGGTGCCCTTCCCTACAATCAGTTCAGCCACTTTACTTCTCTACCACTAAGGTGTTCAGCTTTGGACTTTGATCATTTGCTTTCACTTTTAAACTACTTGAAGCCCCGCTCAATCCTCTAATAAGTCCAAGGAGGGAAGAGCAACGGGGCAAGGACAGGAACTTTGAATGGGAGAGGAATTAGCCTATTTGGCACTTCCAAATTTCCAGGCTGGAGATGTGTTCTAAGTATGACCAGGCCGAGTCCTTGGGAACTCACCAGGCTTGGGCTGGCTGTCCCACCCCCTAACTTTCTGATGGCTCTGAAGCCAGTGTCACCCCATGCCAACTCCAGGTCTTTCTCCCACGTTGCCTGGCTGAGGCCACTTGTCCATTCAAGACCTCCTTCAGGAAACCTTCTCTACCCTAGTGATGCTCCCTGCCCCACTAAGTCCACTTATCTATCAGATACTGATTAAGCACACACTCCATGCCTGCCCCTCTGTAGGCCACGGGGGTAGAGATGAGTAAAACAGGTCCCAGCCACCCAGGTGATCTAGTCTGGGTGTGGGACTGGGGGTTCATGCTGCAGACTCAGATTGTCAGCTGTGGGTTGGGACCTAGGCATCTGTAGTTTTATCAAACCATGCAGGTGACTGAAAGGGCACACCCAAGTGAGACCCTTTGGTTTTGTGAAAAATCTGGCCTCAGCGCTTGCATTCTTGGGCTGCCATAATCCTGAGAACATGCCTCTTTCCCAGTGGTAAGCTCCTCTGGGATCCCAAATCAGGCTGTGTACAAGTCCTCTTCTACAACTCACTACCTGTGCACCTTTACAAAATGCCAAAGCTCTCTTAAGCTCCATTTCCCCAACTTTAACTAGGTAATAATGGTGCCTTCCTGTCCTGAGGATTAACTGGAATACTCTGTGCAAAGCAAGCTGCCTGGTGCAGATAAATGCATAATAAATGTCTGCTATTATTACATCATCACTGTACTCTGATGGACAGAAATACTTCCCTGGGGTTATTTTGAGAACCCCCACTTCTGACACCTGGGAGGCCTGTCCACGCCCTCTGTCAGGGCTCCAGCGTAATGTGCCTTCATTTTCTGCGTGGATCCCGCCTCTTAGTCACTGAACAGCATACAGGGGTGGGTAGATAGGTTTACAGTTGCGAGGATGCGAAACAGAATTTATTCTTGTATTTTTATTATTGTATTATTTGTACTCTTGTAGAATTTATTATTTGTATTCCAACTGTAAACCTACTTTTGCCCACCCCCGAATTAGTTTAACATACCCTTCCCTTCCTCTACCCGGAGTGACCGAAGTTCCAACTATACGTCTTCGGGTAGCCTATCCCAAATTTCAGCGAAATGAACGGGAGAGGTAAGTTTGCCAGGCAAGAGCTTCTCGGGCAGAGGCCGACACTTGTCAGTGCAGCCTCTTCGGACCAAGATCGGTCGCCGAGGAAGACCCAGCCCACTGCTCCCGGCCCGCTGTGGGAACACTGGCCGGTGAACACCCCGGGGGCGCGGGAGGGGCGCCCGGGCTGCGTCTAGGGGTCCCGACGACGGCTCCCGCTAGTTCCGCACCAGGCGCAGGGTGCACAAGACCTTCCCCGCCCCGGCGGCGCACGCGGCTTGCGGCTCAGAAGCAGGGAAGACGCGCGAGAGGGAAGCAGGGACCCGGCTCTCTGCCGTGGGGCGCACGTGGCAGTGTCCCAGCAGCCGCGGTCGCCTGCAGACTTGTAGCCTCCGCGCGGCGATGGCGCAAGGGGGCAACGGGGCTGCGCCGGGTCGCGGGGTCCCGGGGTCCCGGGGCAGGGCGCAGCCACAGCCCCGCCACGATCCAGGGGACGGGTCACTCACCTCTCCGGCCCGCCTCTTGGAGAAGCCGCGGAAGCTGAAGGTTCCCAGGCAGCGGCTGAGGCCCGTGCCCGAGGCTCCGCCCCCCCCCCCCCGCGCCCCGCCCCGCCTCGCCTGCCCGCCCGCAGGGCGGCCCCAGCAAAGGAGGTGACGGCCCGCCTGCTGCGGCTTATCCATCTCGGCCACTTCCCCGGGGCGGCAATCGCGGAGCTGCAGGGCCCTCGATCCCCTCCAGGCCTGCTGCCCGGGAGGCAGAGGCGGCCAGCAAAGGCCCTCTGCCCCTAGCCCAATTTTCGGAGTCGGTCCCGTAGCTTCCAGATCTGCGCCCACCCGTCCTCCTGACCCTACCCGCGTTAAAGTGCGCAGAACTCCCGTTAACCAGGACAAGAAGGGCGTGGAGGCCAGAGTGACTTCTGAGACCCGCTCCCTTACTCAGAGGGACACCTCAAGTCCACGCCTATTTCATAACCCACTTTAAGTGGCAGGAACAGATGGTAAGAGGCCGAGGTGCCAGATTGGATCTGTCTTCCTTCTTTTCTGCAATGAAAGCAGGGAGCAGAAGCCCCTCAACAAGGCTGCATTCAGGCCTGTGTGGTCCTGTCACATCTTTGTCCCTTGTCTACCTTCAGGGCAGACCTTCGAACCTTCCCAATAGTCCTACGGTTTCAAGATCCTTGGGCTTCCAGGAGCTGCTGAGTACTCTGGAGCTTGACTCTGGGTCTAGACCCCAGGGACTCCAAACCACCACCCTGTCCCGAGAAAGATGGTCTCCAGCACTGCTGGCTGCCCTGTCCCCCATGCTGATGGCATCACAGCACAGCAGTGAGGGGAGAGTACCTTTTGGGTAGCTCCCTAGAGGTATGTTCCTTCATCTGAAACTCTGTCTCACCCAAGACCTCACACCAAGGTGCTACTGACAGTTATTCCTCTCCCTTTACAGGGGAGGATATCCGGGCTCTGATGGCTAAGTTAGGCACCAAGGTCTCTACTCTTCTGGGAAGATAACTAGGGGTTATCTGACCCCTGGAGCTCTTTCTGGAATATTGCTGGAGGGCGTATTTCACCAGCCCCATCAAAGAGCTTCAAATTACTCCAGGGAGTGAACCTGTGCTGGAGAGATAAGCCCTAACAGGGGATATCTGAACCCTGAGGCCAGAGGCATGGGGGCTGGGCCTCAGAACTGGCCCCACACCTGGACCTCAGAGAGCTCAGAGGGGTTGCAGAGGCAAAATTCAGATATCCCTGTGGTGGGAATGCTGCTGTGAGGGGCCTCTTCTCCATCCCCTCCCCCCACCAAGACCCACCCATGATCATCTTGTGCTTTCTCACCTCCGTGGGTTTCCTCCTGTCTAAAATATCCTCCCTTCCCAGCTCTCTGTTCTATCTGGCCCCAAGGCCCAGGTCCTCTCCTGTCTTCTTCAGGGACCCTCCTGACCAGCCCCTAGCCAGAACACCACCCTCTCAGAGGCTCCTGTGGAAATCCTCATGGGCCCTTTATTCATTCAGCACTCAGGGAGCCCCGCATTGCCATACAATGTTCCAAGTGCTCAGGACACAGGTACCCATTGCCTGGTCCCTGACTTTGGATGGTAAGTTGCCCCTAGCATGGTGCCCTGCACAGAGTAGGTGCTCTCCAAATCTGCTCTAGCCTGATGGGGATATCTGAGCATCCTTCCTGCAACTACAATGGGTGGCATGGGAAATAGAACTTGGGAAATGGAGGCGCCAAGGTTTTTCAGCATTCGTGGAAGGATTCTTGGATCTATCCAGCATAGACCTGGTAGGCATCTTTGTGGAGATCCCCATAAGCTGGAGAGAGAGAGATATAGGAAAGCTGTACTGGCAGAGGTCTTTCTGAGAAAAGTAACCTCACAGGGTGATCTGACCATAAATTCCTAACTGGGCAGGTCATGGTGGGTAATGACACCCACAGAAATGTGAGCTCCCTGGGGTAGGAAGTGTTCTTCTATCTCATTCACTTTTGTATTCCCAGTGCCTAGCATATATGCCCAGTAAATAGTTGTTGAATTAATGGACTCCCAGTCTCGCCCTTCTTCATCCTCTTCAGTCTCTCTGGGAAGCTTTCTCCATGGCTTCTGCCTACTTTTTGTCTCCTCCCTTACCTACCCCAGAGCAAGCAGGGTGCTGGTACAGAGAAGGTGCTCAGTGCACCCACTAATGCATGTCTACACCTGGAGCTGCTGAATATTCTCTTTATGGAGCCCATGGCTGTCAGCCTCTTGAGATTTCCTTTTCTCCTGAAGACAGTGCTAGCCTTTTGGCTAAGAGGACAGGAGCATCCAGGTTGAGAATCTAGAGTCATCTCCTGCTTGGGTCAGAGAAGAAAGGACTGTTGTTCCTTCTTGGCTTCTCGGATTGATGCAACATTTATAGGCTGGGGCAGAGTACATCCATTTCACAAAATAAATACTCTAATTGACCGTTAAAACGAGGTGGTCAGGAGAAGCTGTGTGCCCTGATGCACTCCGACAGCGCTGGCTGGGAGCCAGGCCACGAGGATGCAGTCCTGCCTGACCAGAGCAGCAGCCCCAGGGCAGGTGCTCCTCGCCTGCGCTCTCCTCCCTTCTCACCCAGGCTTGGTGAGACTCCTCCAAATTTGGGCACAGGGAGCTGGTCCCCTATGTGAGAGAAGGAGTGAGCCTACAATTTCTTGATGTAAGAAACCTCCAAACCTATAGAGAATTTTTATGAGTTTATTTGAGTCAAATTGATGACAATTGCCAGGAAGCAAAAAGAAAGAAAGAAAGAAAGAAAGAAAGAAAGAAAGAAAGAAAGAAAGAAAGAAAGAAAGAAAGGAAGGAAGAAAGAAAGAAAAGATAGAAAGAAAGAGAAAGAAAGAAAGAGAGAAAGAGAGAAAGGAAGAAAGAAATCTCAATGGACTGAGAAAACACTCTGGAGAATGGCAGTTTTGCAGCTTATTTTATACACTAGAATCAAAGGAGGAGATAGATGTAAGGGGTTACCTGAAATACATTGGTAGTAGATTAAGGGGACAGGAGAAAGCAAAGGGGGAAATCTCTGGGACTGGACAAAGAGTCAGAGAGACACATATTTCCTTTACATTGGTGGTATACAATAATTAACATTTATAGCACATGGAGATGGTATGCTGGGAAAAAGATAACAGTGAGGGGTTTTGTGGTCTTCTGCTTCAGTGGGAGGCTGTGTCCTGAGGAGTCTGGAAAAGGAGATAACATTTCAAAGGTACGTTATCCTAGCCCTGGGCGGGTAGAGCATTGTCCCCATACACCAAGGCTGTGGGTTTGATCCCCAGTCAGGGCACATAGAAGAATCAACCAATGAATGCATAAGTAAGTGGCACAACAAATTGATGTCCCTCTCTCTCTCTCTTTCCACCCCCCCGCTTTCCTCTCTCCAAAAATCAATCAATCAATCAATAAACATATGTTATCTTAGATGCAAAAAGACAATAGACATGCTCTGACTTTTGTTAAGTCACATCAAGGCCTAGGACGTGACTATTGCGTGGCTTGCTTTTAGTTACAAGTTTTTATTTATTTTTAAATTTTCATTGAATTTATTAGGTTGATACTGGTTAATAAAATTATACAGGTTTTAAGTGTACAGTTCTATAATACATCATCTGTATGTGGTATTGTGTTTCTACACAAAGTTAAGTGTCTTTCCATCACCATTTATCCCCCCTTTGCTTTCTTTTACCTCCCACCACCCCTTTTCCCTTAGTTAGGAATTTTTATGTTCAGACCATCCTCTGTGGTTACTTTTGTAAGGCCACTGTGCAGGCCTCCCCTGAGCTTGTCAGGTTTAGTATGTTGACCCTTTCTTTCCCACAAATTCAAGGGGTGGGGGTCTTGAGGGTGCTTTGGGCAAATGGAGGGGTTATGCCTGCCACCGTGATGACTCAGTGGGTTAAGCCATGTCAGAACCTTCCAGAGCTGAGCAGTGTGAACTACGGGGATGACCTGTGAGGGAGCAGCACTGAACGGGAGGAAAGCTGGCAAAGTGCGCTTGGGCCTGGGATTTAAGCTTACAGACTGTTCTCACATGGAGCCTTATTTGGAGACAGGGCACTGGGATACACCTATCACTACATCAAATCTCCTTGCACCCCAGAGCTTGGTACTCTCCTTTGGTATAAAGCTGACCTCCTTCTGGTCCTCTGCTGAAACTTGAACTCTCCTTAGAGGAAAAGTTCTCTGAGCTCCAAGGAATGAGAAACTGTGTATCCTCTGGAGGTTTAACTGTGGCCAGTATAAGAGTGTCGAGAAGATTCTAATGGCAGCTGCTAAAAGGGGAGGGTGGATAAAGAATTGGGGGTAGAGTGAGCAGAAGCAACCTTTTTTCCAAAGTTCCTCCCAGCACATAATATATACTGTCCAAGTATGAACATCCAAACCTATGGAGAATTTTTATAGAAATTCATTTGAGCCAAATAGAAGATGTGCCTGGAAGCAAGATCTAAACAGACTGAGAAAAACGCATCCTAGAATGACAGTTGGCAGCTTCTTTTGTCCATTTAGAACTAAGGAGGGAACATAGGAAGATTACAAGAAGATGGAAGAAAGCCAGGCAGGGACTGAAGTACAGGATAGCTAACAAGATTATGTGCTCTTTTGAAGGTGGTTTTGCTTGAGGAGTCTGAAAAGAGGTATTTCAAAGATGTGTTAACCTGCATGCGCAAAACAAGGGACAGGGCTTGCTTAAATAAGGCAAGGATAACCTTTTACTAGGGGAGTTATATGCTTGGCACAAAGCTTATCCACCATGACCTGCCCAGTTAGGAATTTATGATCAGATCACCCTATGAGGTTACTTTCTGTAGACACCCCCCCTTTTTTTCATGGTACTTAATAGCTTTTTCTGTAAGATCATGTGTCTTGGTATATAGTGGCCAAGTGGGAATGTAGGAAGCTGGCCCAGCACCTCCAGGGAGAGTCTAGTGAGCCCAGGAGCAGATCCTTCTTGTGTGTCTGTGGGACTACTGCATTGCCTTTCAGTTGGGGGAGATTGCAGGGGCACATAGCTAGAGAAGTCTGGGCCTCAGCCCCTTGTTGTGAGT